TCTCTCTCTCTCTCTCACACACACACACACACACACACACACACACTCTCTCTCTCTCTGTGTATCAAGTGCACAAGGAATCCACCGAGCAGTTTTCTCTGCCCCCAAAAAACCTTCAACCTCATCCCTGAGAGAAAGAGAGAGGAATACGGAAAGAGACAGAGGGGGCACAACGGTGATCTCATTGTTGCTATTGTCTCTGCTTTTGAACCAAGGAAGATGCCTCTCCTCCGTTCTCCTTCTGTGTGTGTGTGTGTGTGTGTGTGTGAATAGTGGGGTTAACCCTGAATGCAGCTGGGCTGTATTGAGTCTGGTTACAGAGAGTGGTTCCCTATAGCAGGTTCAGAGGCTGAAAGACAAAAGGCCAGAGAAACACTGGCCAACTGAATACCTAAGACCAATGAGTCTGTTTGTGTGCGTGTGGTTTTTTTTAGGGGGTTGGAAACTTGAGGAAGGTTGGTTAAACGTGATGCTGGTATGGTGTGTTTGTTTAAATTTGGTGACCTCTCTGCTTTCTGTCTCTCTTTTGCTCTGATATGGCTGAGTGGGCTTCCAGATCTGTCTGAAATTGCATTTCACACATGGTGGCTGACACTGTGAAACAAGGATATAGATGTTTGAGGACATATGAAGCAGTAGTTTAAGTGGAAACATTAGGAATTTGGGGAATGTTCGTTCTTAAGGTATATGGTCGCATTTACTGTTAGTCATTTCAATAGGAATCCATCAAATATGAGTTTAGTTTGAGGGTGAAAGATTTCTCAATGCAGATTTCGCAGTGGGTTCAAGCTGGTCTCTCTGATTTTCCAGTTGGTTAGAAAGTGGCTTCTGTGTAAGCTGTGCTTCATATATGGCAACCCTATAGACTTTTTTGCTTGCAAAATATTGTGAAACTGGTTAACTGAAACCTGGAAGGAAATGTTAGAATTTTGTTAGGATTTTGAAATATATATTATAATATAATATAATATAATTCTAAATAAAAATATTTCTTCTGCTGAGCACAAGATGCTCTTAGGATCATTTTCAAATCATGTTGGATAACATAATAACATCAACATGATCACACTTGTGTGATTCATGTTGCTGTCTTTGAAAGAAAAGGGGGACAAACCAATTATAAAGTCATTCAGAATTTCATGTGAATTAAATTTTTGAGCTAATAATATAATTTGTCATAAAACAAGTGTTGTATTAAATTTGAAAAATGCAAAATGAATGCATTTTCACTAGCGGTCTCAGATAGCGGTCCCCTACTGATGCATAAACAACCATGCACACAAACACTCCAGATTGTGGCAGTTTACAAACTGCCTTTTTTAAAACCAAGATATGTGTACTGATGCACAGTTTCAGACATCTTTTGTGTGTGTGTGTGTGCTGTCGGTGGACAGTCTTTGAGAAGAGTGGAAAGCAATAAACTTGCTGAAATGGTGCCATCTCACAGACATCATTGATCAATTGAATTCTATCAGACACACTGACCGCTGGGATTAAGAGGGTCAAAACACTGGAGATCATACACTCTCTGTGTGTGTGTGTGAGAGAAAGAGACAGAGCGAGAGAGAGCATTTAAGCTTTGTTGAGGTAAGTCCTTGCATTGAGGTGTATTAGAGACACATGGGACTTGCACGGCATCAAGGAGTCGGAGACAAGAAGATCTTTCTTTTAAATAACCACAGATGGCAGTAAACTGGATCTGAATTCACATTCAAATGGATCGATTTCTGTGTTCAAATGAAGGAGGAAAAGGGAATGTTTGGATAGTTGCTTTGTCTGCCAGTCATTTTATCCCTCTATCCCTCTATCCCTCCATATCTCTCTTTCTCTCTCTCTCTCGTCTTGTGGGGATTGCTCTGGCCTCTGACTCTAACTCCCTAGAATAACCTCTCAGAGGCATTTTGAAGAAATGAATTGGCTCTATATCAGGGATTTTCGTTTCTATTCTTCTTTTTTCATCCCTCTCTTTCTCTCTCTCTCTCTCTCTCCCTGTAATCATTTGAGGGCTGTAGCTTTCTCAGCTCTTATAATTGTCTCTTCAGAAACTCAACAGCCCAGTAATAACTGACTCACGCGCTGCCTTAACACTCACTCAGAGAGGAGGACGCAAGTCCAAGAATCTATGTTTGTGTGCCTGTATGTGTGCTTGAGTCCCTGTATGATAGTTTCCAGAAAAGTTCAAGTACTTACCCTTATGATCATAATGACAAAGAGAAATAATTCACTATTGTTATTTATGTTTTTACAGCATGTAATTAGAACCATTAGAACCTCTACTAGTCAGGCCCCGCAAGAGTAGCATTTCCAAATTTGAGGTAGAATTCATAAAACAGTAGGTACCCGAATGACTTACTAATTCTGACGAGATTCTGAGGTGTACATTCAGAGTATTGGAGATTTTGGATGTAGCCAGGGTATCTCTCTGCAGGAATTTTTTTTTTTATTGAAGTTTTTTGACATTTACAGGGTTTAAACATAGTTGACACATCTGAGCTAATATAAATTGCCCAGGTGGCCATTCATTTGAATTCTCTACAAAATACACATTAAAATACATGATTGCCAAATACCTTATTATAAGAAGAAAGAAAAAGAAAAAAAGAAAGAAAAATTACATCACCATTGGGTTGTTATTCAATCCTTCCACTCCAGGTTCCGTATTCCCAGTGCTAGTAAATGTCTCTCTTCTCCCGCAAGATAGGTAAAGAAGGGTCCCATACTTTATAGAATTTAAAAGGTTTGTCTTTTAATGCTGTTGAAAAAGCTTCATATTGAATAAGACCTTTGATTGTGTTAATCTACTGTGCTATTGATGGAACTTGGTCTGCTATCCAGCATACAAGTATGTACTTGCGGGCACAGTGGAGTAAGATTTGAAGAAGGTGGGTCCCTTGGAATCTGGACGGGAGTTCCTGGCTCATGCCAAGCAAACAAGTCATTGGTCTATTTGTAATGAGCAGCAAAATTTTTTCTCAAGTTCCTTTAGGACGCCCGTCCAGAATTGTTGTATTTTCGAGCAGCTCCAGAAACAATGGATGAGGGTTCCTTCTAGACTTTTACATTTATTGCAGAGGTTGGAGAGTTTTGGGTTTACTTTATGTCTTTGAGCAGGAGTCACATGCAGATGATTAACAATTTTAAACTGCATTTCCGAGGCAGAGTTATTGGCAAGATAGGAAGGCATCTCACATATGGCTTCCCAATCAGTTAACTGAATTTCTTCCCCAAAGTCCTTTTCCCATAACACTCTAGTTTTATCTGAGCTATCTGTATTTGCTCTTATCAAAATACTATAGAAGATTTTGGATGCAGATCGAGATGAAGTAAGTTTAATTAATTGTTCCTCCATTGGGGATACGCAGAGGCCCCTTGAATAGACTCTGAGATTTTTTGTTATGAAGCTACGTATCTGATGGTATATCAAGAAGAACTTCTTATTGAGATCATATTTTGCAGTGAATTGTTCAAAGGTCATTAGCTGTTTATTCTCCATCAGGTCTCCTATGACAAGTATTCCTTTGTCTCTCAAATGTATTAGGCCGTCATTCATCCCCGGGGGGAAATCTGGGTTGTTATGTAAGGGTGTGAGAAGTGAAAGGTGGGAGTCGAGCCCTTCTGTTCTGCAGACTAATCTCCATATTTTAATCATATTCTTAAGAATAAAATTATCTTTAGTTAGAATTCGCTGTTTTTTGGGTGAAAGATAAAGTAAGTTGCGTAAAGGAATTGGCCCGAGAGTTATGGCTTCTGCGCTTATCCAAGTTGAGTTTGGATCGTTTACTGCAGGATTTTTAAAATCAAATTTAAGACTTTTTTTTAGACCTTTTTAAGACCTTGTAGCGTCTGGACCACTCAAACACACAACATATATTTTGTTAGCTAGATTTAACAAATACTCTGTAACACCCCAGGAAGCAGAACAGGCCCCCGGTTCCATGGCAACCATATGCAAAATACCATGCTTAGAGACAAAGGGCCATAAAAACGCAGAACTCCCACTTGAGATTCCGGACTTCCCCATTGGGCAAGCCCATCTTGAGAGGCGTGAATCTCTGCAGGCTTTAAAAGGCCACACTCCATGTGACCCGCCCTGTTCGGTGGTTCAGTGAGATGCTAAGATGAAGATGTGAGAAACGCTCCAGGATACCAAAGCTCGTGCCAGGCTCCGGCCTAGTCCTTTTCATTCATCAAGTGACTCTGACTCAAACTGGTTCTTTTCATCGACCCGAATTCAGCAAAGATCAACGGGAAGCTTTAAGATTTGCATTAGGAATCTCTTTCAGACCGCCGAGACTTGCTAAGTATCAAACTTAGTCTTATTAATTTGATACATTAAGTATCAGTTACACCTTTTTACAAGGTTTGTTTGAACTAAGAATCTGACGTTTTCCCTCAGGTTTTAGATCTGCTGAATATGCAAAGTTTCCATAAAATTCATTCTTTATGCCTCTTTCTATGCTGAGTTAAACTTTAACCCTTTCCTATACCAACTGTATGTGTGTGTGTGTGTGTGTGTATGTGTATGTTAGACCAGCTTAATGTGTTTATGTAGTATGTTAGACTAGTTTAAGTGTTTATGTAGTTAATAAAACCTTACTTGTATCACACTTGACGTGTTCATTGTTTGCTCATAACCGGAGTCACTAATCATGCAGATTTACGTTACAAGCTTGTAGAATTGTACAGTAAGAAAGTTATTTCCCTTAACCAGGAAATTAACGTTCTTGGAATTGACAAGACAGTTGACCCTGAGAGGTCAGCTAAATATCTACAGCGGATCTAAAATATGAATAGTTAATTATAACTAGTTATGCTTAATTATTCATATTTCCCCATGAGCTGATTCGCTACATTTCTGTAACAGTAAAGTTTGTTTACAGTTCATTTTCACTACATCTAAAACTCAAGCTTGTGTGTCTTATTCTTAAATGCCCCACTTTTGTAAATGCTACATTGTACTTAACTGCTTTTTCATGAAATCTGTTTGACTCTCTCTCCAGTTCTACAGGATTCTCCTTTGGTGAATGGCCACGCCCACTCAGGGCGGGACTTCCTGCGGAAGCAGATGCGAGGAGAGCTCTTTACACCGCAGCAGCTCGAGGTATTGGACCATGTCTTTGATCGACAGCCATATCCCGACATTTACCCCGTCCCTGACAGCAGCAGCTACAAGCTCGTCCAGGTAAGGGCTGGGGGGTAGGGGTGTGTATCCTGCCACGGTGGTTGTGTGCACCTCCTCTTAAAGCTCACGCTTGCCCTTGCCTGGCTGCCAGTATTGCTTGACCCTGTCCCAACCCTGCTGTTGACCTATGCACCCCCACACTGAAGCTAATGCTGAACTTTCACCTCTTTGAGCTAATGCTGGGGCTTTGACCCTGCTGGTGCTGACGTCCCCCTGATGTAGAGTTTTTGGCTGAGGTTAAGTCTCAGCACTGCATAGAGGTTTAGGGTTAAGTAGCAAACACTTGTTCGTTAGTTTGCAAAAGTTACCCACATGGCATAATGTTTGTATGTCCAAGTGACCATATCAGAAATTATTATTAATACATGATGATGCCGCCAGTGGCAGTCCCAGTCCCGGGACGCTTAGTGAAAAAGTACGTTTAGTTTAGAGTGATGTAAGGGAGGGTACATAATGTCAACATTTTGAGTTTAAAGCTAATTATCTGTGAAAGATGTGTCTTGACTGTATTGGCTAAATTGTGAATAGATTATTTCTGTCACAGCTTTTTAGACTAACACTTTTTACCATTTTTGGGGGGAAAATCCCTAAAAATAGGCCTTTATTCTGGTGAAAGAATGTCTTTGCCTCATTCTAGTCTTTGCCTCCATTCTGGTCAAAGCGATGTTTGTGTTTGCAGTACTTGTAAATGATTGCAGTATGGTTAGACATGCTGAAACATACCAGATAGGATGCAAAAGTACAGATGTATGCACATACAGATGTGCATTTGATGCATAAAAATTGATCACAAGAACAGGACCCTGTCCCAACCCTGCTGTTGACCTATGCGCCCCCACACTGAAGCTAACGCTGACCTTTCACCTCTCTGAGCTTATGCTGGGGCTTTGACCCTGCTGGTGCTGACGTCCCCCTGATGTAGAGTTTTTGGCTGAGGTTAAGTCTCAGCACTGCATAGAGGTTTAGGGTTAAGTAGCAAACACTTGTTCGTTAGTTTGCAAAAGTTACCCACATGGCATAATGTTTGTATGTCCAAGTGACCATATCAGAAATTATTATTAATACATGATGATGCCGCCAGTGGCAGTCCCAGTCCCGGGACGCTTAGTGAAAAAGTACGTTTAGTTTAGAGTGATGTAAGGGAGGGTACATAATGTCAACATTTTGAGTTTAAAGCTAATTATCTGTGAAAGATGTGTCTTGACTGTATTGGCTAAATTGTGAATAGATTATTTCTGTCACAGCTTTTTAGACTAACACTTTTTACCATTTTTGGGGGGAAAATCCCTAAAAATAGGCCTTTATTCTGGTGAAAGAATGTCTTTGCCTCATTCTAGTCTTTGCCTCCATTCTGGTCAAAGCGATGTTTGTGTTTGCAGTACTTGTAAATGATTGCAGTATGGTTAGACATGCTGAAACATACCAGATAGGATGCAAAAGTACAGATGTATGCACATACAGACAATCAATTGATGCATAAAAATTGATCACAAGAACAGGCAGTCAAAGATGTCACTCAAAAGTCAAATGCTATCACCCCCACATTCATTCAGGCACACATACAAGGCCAGTGTCAGAGTTCTATAGACTTGTCTGAAAGACCCCATAATTCCTCTGTCCATTTCACCACTGAGCGCTGAGGCTGGCAAGGTCAAAGGCTACTGAGCAGGGCATTAACCTTAGGGTCAATCCACATCCCTTGGGTGTGTGTGAGTCAGGTTTGTTGTGGCACAAATGATCAGACAAATTGAGAACCGGGAATTTTGAGCTGTCTCTTTTTCAGAAACGAGAGTGTGCGAGAGAGGTACATGCTAAGTGGTCTTGTGTGATTGACTGACGGGTTGTTTTCCTCCCACTGACAGAGTGAATGCTGCTGAAGGAAAGAGAAATGATGGAGGGCTTGACTCTGTTTGAGTGTGTTTGTGTCTCCTAGGGGCATGAAATGAACTTGGGATGAATAAAATCTTTATTTCAAATCTACAAGTTGGAAAGTTTAAGTTAGAATAGTTAAATGGCACAATAATAAACACAATATGGCTGTAAATGTAAACTAAATGAATGGAATGAGTATTCCTGTTTGGTGTGATGTTGCAAATATGATTTGAGAGGACGTTCATGTCCCTTTTTCGACTAGGAAACTTGTATTTACAATAGAGCCAATAGCATGTCACATGATATTTACGGCTCAGGTGATTGGCTCAAATACCTATATCCTGATATGAGTGCTCATTTGACTCTGTGGTGGGGAGAGGTGAGGATTATATGATGGCTGATCAAGTGCCATCAAGATCAGAAATCTTTATGTATAGAAGTCTTACATACAAAGCAAGAAAATAAATAAATGCCTTTTTAAATTAAAATGAAACATATAACAAAATGTTTAAAGTAAAAACCTTATTAACTGTTATTAATTATAAGTATACATTTTGTTTTTACAATAATACCTTACCTGCACTGAAACTGTGCAAAGCCACTGTGGTAAAAAAGCATCTGCCTTGATGGTAAACATAAAATGTAAATATATCTCTTGTCTCTCCACCCATAAATTTACCGTCAAGCTATATCTATTATATAGTGATGACATTTATTTTTTCATCTTTCATCCTCCCCTCCTGCGTCCTTTCTCCACCTCTTTTACATTTGACTTGATTTTGTTCTTTCCTCTATAGTTGCTGATTAGATTAGGGTACATAAGGGCTCAATTATATATAAAAACTATGGTGTGATTATATAATTCATTCTTTCAGATAACCTAAAAGTGTGCTTTATGTAGTAACATCAAAATAAATGACAACTATTTAATATCCAGTCAAACTGTTTGTTAAATTACACCAGTGAAAGTCACTTTAAAGGGTTAGTTCACACAAAAATGAAAATTCTGTCATTAATTACTCACCCTCATGTCGTTCCACACCCCTAAGACCTTTGTTCATCTTCAGAACACAAATTAAGATATTTTTGATCAAATCCGATGGCTCAGAGAGGCCTCCATTGACAGCAACCCAATTGATCCACCAGCAATCCATTGACCACCCAAACTTTCAAGATCCATAAAGGTACTAAAGACGTCGTTAAAACAGTCGACATGACTACAGTGGTTCTACAATAATTTTATGAAGCGACGAGAATACTTTCTGTGTGAAAAAACAAAACAAAAATAATAACTTTATTCAGCAATCTCTTCTCTTCCCTGTTATTATCCTTACACGGTTAACGCAGTAAGCACAGTGAAGGCTTCTGTGTTCTACGTCCGAACGCGGCTCATTATTGGCCAAAGCTGTACATGTGATCAGCACGACGCATGCGTGTGATGCTGATGCAGGAGCCGTCCAATAATGAGCCGGCGTTCTGACGTAGAACCTGGAAGCGCTGGACGTAACCAACGTATGAGAATGACACAGAAGAGAAGAGGTTGTTGAATAAAGTTGTTATTTTTGTTTTGTTTTTGCGCACAAAAAGTATTCTCGTCGCTTCATAAAATTATTGTAGAACAACAGTAGTCACATCGACTGTTTTAACGACGTCTTTAGTACCTTTATGGATCTTGAGAGTTTGGGTGGCGTTGCTGTCAATGGAGGTCTCTCTGAGCCATCGGATTTGGTCAAAAATATCTTAATCTGTGTTCTGAAGACGAACGAAGGTCTTAGGGGTGTGGAACGACACGAGGGTGAGTAATTAATGACAGAATTTTCATTTTTGGGTGAACTAACCCTTTAAAGGGTCACGTGTACAATCAATGCTTTTTATTCTCCATTAATCTCTTCATTCAGCACCTCTCATTTTAAAATGTTATATCATGAAATTTGACATTTCCCTGCTCTTTAAAATAAAAGAGTTTGTATTATGAAAATGCACTGTAACATTCAAACTCAAAACATGTCTCATTCTGAACTTCTGTAACTTTCTAACTTCTCTGCATCTTTAGGCTATTTAGAAGTAGCCATATAATTTGAAAAGATACAATCGGCAGGGATGACATATTCTTGTAGGCCAACCTGTTAGCATAGCTCTGGTTCCCTCGACAAAAGCAGGATTGTCCCATTGGCCTTTGGATTATTGCAGAAAATAAACTCTGTGACCAACAAAATTAAATTTTACATGGTTTTGTTCATCAAGTTAATCTTGACAAATGAACACAACTTTTATGAATTCTGAATCTCAAATACAGTCGACAGAACTAAAAAGTTAAGTTAGGCTATAAATTAACTACAAATCATTGCATGACTTCTGTCACCACCACTAAGCTTAAATAAAATCTTTATTTCAAATCTACAAGTTGGAAAGTTTAAGTTAGAATAGTTAAATGGCACAATAATAAACACAATATGGCTGTAAATGTAAACTAAAAATAGTGAATGGAATGAGTATTCCTGTTTGGTGTGATGTTGCAAATATGATTTGAGAGGACGTTCATGTCCCTTTTTCGACTAGGAAACTTGTATTTACAATAGAGCCAATAGCATGTCACATGATATTTACGGCTCAGGTGATTGGCTCAAATACCTATATCCTGATATGAGTGCCCATTTGACTCTGTGGTGGGGAGAGGTGAGGATTATATGATGGCTGATCAAGTGCCATCAAGATCAGAAATCTTTATGTATAGAAGTCTTACATACAAAGCAAGAAAATAAATAAATGCCTTTTTAAATTAAAATGAAACATATAACAAAATGTTTAAAGTAAAAACCTTATTAACTGTTATTAATTATAAGTATACATTTTGTTTTTACAGTAATACCTTACCTGCACTGAAACTGTGCAAAGTCACTGTGGTAAAAAAGCATCTGCCTTGATGGTAAACATAAAATGTAAATATATCTCTTTTCTCTCCACCCATAAATTTACCGTCAAGCTATATCTATTATATAGTGATGACATTTATTTTTTCATCTTTCATCCTCCCCTCCTGCGTCCTTTCTCCACCTCTTTTACATTTCTTTCCACTTCTCCTCTCATTTGCTCTTTCCATCTCTCAGTTTGTGGTGCTGGAAGGACCA